AACTTCAAAAAACCGTTTTTTATTGCCGATTTTCACTATTTTTACGGTTTTTTTTTAAGTTTTCTCGAAATCTAGGAGGTATATTGGCCCAACTGACATCAAATTCGAATTCTGCGGGTCGAAATACATATCCATAGGTAGGTCCGGTCAAATGCACATCACACAAATTTATTTTTTGTGTACCGGTACATTCGACACAAATTTATCAAAGCATCAGTATCGTCTACTTACTGAGTGCCATTTTCTAATGTAAGCAGTGAAGTTGCCTTTACTAACAGGGCAGATAAATTGTTCCTCACTTTAAAGTGTTTTGTTATTCCGTAGAGTGAAACTTCACTACATTCGTCACATAATTTCAAATGTTGACAATGCAACATAAGCAAATCTAGAGCAAGAGCAACTGTTAGCAAAAACCAAAACCTTGGTTGAAAATCTAATATATCTGACTCATGAACCAAAACCGAACCAAAATTTAAAGCTGGGTACACATTTTTAGAGGTTGCATCGGGTAAGCAACAATTTATCGATTCGAGAAATTAATGCGCTGATGAGAAAACGAAAACTCGTATATCGAGACGATAAAGTGGCCGGTAATCTAAAGGTTAGATGAGGAAACGGCCCTAAAAGTTGTTAAGTTTGATCTGACTTTTTAGCAGTTTTTTTATTTTATACATATATTAGGTGGGTGATTCGGATCCGGCGTCAATACAGTATATACATAACGGACTTTCTATTTTTAATTCATCCCAAATAGTTAAAAAAGTTTTAGGTATACAGGTATCTATAACCGTGAGCAAGTGCTTAAAAAATGTACCAGAAATTGACGAAAAATTTAACGATTCTTAATTATATGGTTGGTAGGCGTGGTCGCTCATTTTATGAGCAGAAGTTGTTAGTCATTCAGACATAATTTGTGCAAAATTTCATCCCGATATCTATCTCAAATCTTAATATAATAACTAAATTACTCTAATAGAGCAGATTGGACCACTGTGCGACGGGGCCGCCGTCATAACAGCAAGAAACGCCCAGCTAGCACAGCTCAAGCTAAACCAGGTCATGCGCAACGTCAGTGGATGGATGAACGATCACGGTCTGCAATTGGCTACAGCCAAAACAGAGATCGTGCTCCTCACCAGCAAACGGATCCCAACAATTATAAATATGATGGTCGGACCTCAAATCGTGACAACTTCTAGGTCTGCAAAATACCTAGGGGTGAAGCTTGAGACCAAACTCATCTGGGAACACATCCATGGAGTATGTAAAAAAGCTGCGCAGAGCACGGTGGCTCTAAGCCGGCTGATGGCGAACGTGAGCGGCCCGAAGCCATGCCGCAGGAAGCTTCTGATGACAGCAGTCCTGTCGGTGCTCCTGTACGGGGCAGAAATATGGCCCGACGCATTGAAAGTCAAAAAATACCGGATTCAAATGTCTTCGGTCTAGCCCAGAGGGGCACTACACATTGCTTCTGCATACCGTACAGTGTCCGCGGACGCGGTTCTAGTTATTTCTGGCGTCATGCCAATTGAGCTACTTGCTTACTAGCGAAAAGAGATTTATAATCTCAGTGCCGAGATAGGTTGAGCAGCTGCCGCGGCAAGGGCGCGCGAGCAACTAATCCAGCAGTGGCAACAAAACTGGAACGCGAGCACAAAAGGTCGATGGACGCACTCCCTGATAGCCGACCTTCAAACATGGTTGAACAGACCGCATGGGGAAGTCGATTTCTACCTGACGCAATTCCTCACGCACAAAAGGTCGATGGACGCACTCCCTGATAGCCGACCTTCAAACATGGTTGAACAGACCGCATGTGGAAGTCGATTTCTACCTGACGCAATTCCTCACCGGTCAGAAAGAAAGATATGGAGACATAACTCCGAACAACGTAATGATCTCCAGTGCAGAAAAGTGGGAAGCAGTTGCGAGATACGTGAAATTCGTACTCCGCTGCAAAAGAGAGGACGGATGTCTACTGAGGATACCTGAATGAAACGCCCTACAAAAGAGCAGCCCCGAGGCTCTAACAGCGCGCTCCAGCATGTGAAGACATGCAGAATTGCGGTGCCAGATGCGGGATTCTTGCGCGGGCGGTGGGAGTTTGGGTTTTAGTGGGTAGCCCAACACGCTTCGGTGGGAGTCCCATACTCGGGGAAAGTAGTATAGAGACTAGCGCCCCCGGCCAGTGCATAAAGCAATCCCCTCTCCTACGAACAAAAAATAAAATTTTGTTAACAGTTAAATCAATAATCCGTAAAGAGATATGACGTTAAAGTTTATAATTTGTCTTATATTAAAATTGCTAGCACTATCAATTATCTGTTTTTTACCGTGGTAATTTTCTTTCCTCCAATATTCTCGTTCTGTACTTATAAGTCAAAAACTAAGATTCGTAAAGATAAAGGCTAAAATGAAGACCAAGGTAAATTTAACACTTTACTCATATATACATATATATAGGAGCAAAGATGAAGGGGAATATGTATATGTAGAAAGTGATAAACATAAAAGTAAAAGCAAAAAGGAGGATGAGGATACCGATAAAAGCAAAGATGAAGATAGGGGAAGAAACTAAAGGTAATTAAAGAGGAAAGGATATAGAGAGAGACACAAAGACTCAATCTGCTAACTATTTTCTGATTTTAGAGATTTTCGAAAATCTCGGGACTTATCGATAAAATAATCGATATTTTTATTGGTTTTGTTATCGATTTTGTTATCGGTATTTATCGATTTTGTTATTGATTTGTTTATCGATATTTATCGATTTTGTTATCGATTTTTATGGATTTTGCTATCGATATTTTTATCGATTTTCTTTTGATATTTATCGATTTCGTGATCG